ATGGTCGTCAGTGGTAAAGGTGTTCGGTGTACTGGAGGAAACTGGCAAACCCTGTTTGGCAGTCAACTTGGTGAACTCAATGCTAAATCGACTACCTGCAGTGCTCAAAAATGAACAGCAAATGGATCATGGACGAGATCAAAGTACAATACCTGTGTGAAGTTTATGAATCATTTTAATCAATGAAATCTAGTTAAGTTTTGTACTGTGGTTTTGTTAGTTTACAAATGGTTCACAAGCGACAACCATCAAAATCGCGAAATCGTACATTTAATGGCATGTGGCTAACAGAAACAAAGACATAAGTGGGTATTATATCAGATATGTAGCCTCTGATGTAGGGCAATGTCATGTTCAATCCTGTGAATGAGGCTGAAAAAACGAAGCATTGAGAGGAACAAATGTAATGAAAATTAGGATATTGCACGAATTTAGTCAATACCTGTATATATGCATGTCCGACGAGCGGTTTGAACCGCGAAACCGATCGTATGCTTCCAGGGAAATTTGGTCTAGTCATACGTATCTTACTTATTATTAAATAGATATATATTCTCACACACGTCTGCATTCACACTGTGCCAAACAAATCATGGTACGATAATCTTTACGAAAAAGAAAGACCTTCCATGATTTGATTCAAATGGATTGAAGAGAGATAGGGGATGTTTCCGACAAATTAACTCGTTAGTTGTCGCATCTGTGGTACACGAAGTGTAAGATTTAATCAACGTTAGATTTAGGTCTACATCGGAGAATTCTGATGTCAGTGCTCCATTGCGCTGCTTTTGCTGTCTGTTAAAACGTGCATCACACTCGACACCACTGCGAGGACGGAACAGATGAACACGTACACAGTAGGTGGCTGGCTTGGCGACTAAACAGGCAGGTCAATTCTTTCGTATCGAACGAACCGAAAAGAACACATTTTGATTCGTGTCGGAGCTGCCCCGTAACACACACACACACACACAATTAACGATCAATCTGTGTTTTCGGTGGAATAGCATGTGGCCGACCGTGGCAAGAAATATGCTACCAGAAGCACATAACGTGCAGGCATCAAGTCCGAAACAATGCAGACAGCAAGCATGGTGAGAGCACATTTGATTGAATGGATTGATTTTTGAATGCTATGCGCCAGAACACCAATCCAACTGCATGGATTGTGTGGACTGATGGAACGTTTCGACAGAGTCGTCAAATCGCGCTCCCGGGTGGTATCAGAAAGGTCGAGCACACAGCAAAATCAAAAAGGCTCAAATCTTTGAGAAATTACCGAAGCGTGAGACTTCGAAAGGTTTTCACAGATGGTGAAAGACAGGATTACCCTAGAGAACTGTGAACGCTGATCTCGAAAATTGCCGCCAACGAGTTGGTGATCCCCGCCCTACCCAGTGAGTGAGACACTGTGCAAGTCTCAAGGATGTACGCTTCACCAGATAGCGGCTTAGTCTCCGTAATAGATACCATCTGGTGGATCGCCTAAAACGTGTGAGGAACTAAATTGGGAAAATCTGGTTGGGTTCCGGAAGGGGAGGCGAATCTACTTATTACATATTTTCCTCTATTAGATGACTCAACATTATAAATAATGTTGGTAAAATCATCATCATCATTGTACAGCATAATACAGTGAAGCGAACTTCACTGATCGCTGCCAAACTCAATGCATACAAGATAAGTGAGAATGTGTAAGGAGGACAGGGATTGGGCTTATTTTTAGGGACGGGAAAAGAAAGTGAAACTCTATGGTCAAAACACTGAGTACACAGCCCAACTGTGCATACATACTAGTTCAAGCATTTTGGACTGATAAGAAGTGATAGCGTGATCGCCATTGCTGTTGATTCGCAGCCATGATTTTCATTGTCTCCAACCATGCGGTTTGGGAGTCTTTTGGACCCTAACCCGGAAGATGAGAGACACCTGCTCTATCTAATGTGATATGCCATGCGAATCGCTTTGGACTGTGTTGATAGAACTGCTTGTGGAGGAACAAAGTACTCGGGAAGTATGCCTCGATTGTCAAAACACTCGCTCAGCACAAACCGCGTCGGATTAGCTCATCTTAGTTCGGTGCGTTCTTGAGAAGAGCAAATGGAAAACAGAGCAAAGTTGGGAGTTGTGTCCACGAGGGATACGATGAAACACGTTGGAAAACATGAATACCGTTAATCATTTACTGAAGGGCGAGATCCGATAGTCTTCATGATGGCTTCGTTTGCAGAAAAAAAATAATGGTAGCTGCCGTCGTTATAGATGGACAAAATCAATGATTGCATAGATCATTTGGAGGCATAGTAACCGATACCTTTCACACACGAGATTAGGAATTAAAATACACCATCAATATGCGATTGCAACTGAACATGAAGAGAACACACAAATCAACAACGAATGCATTTTATATGAAGTCACATAGGCTGTTTCCAAGATTACCCGAAAATAGCCAATAAAGTATAACTATCCAAATTGTTTTATCGGGGGGTATTTGAAAGAACAAAGCAGAACCTATGAATGAAAGGCGCTGTACCTTTGTAATCCATCCTGCTCCAAATGATTTCAAAATAAAAAAGCCAGGGGAATTCACTGCATTATCAATACCTCATTCAATCTAATCTATAAAACGTATGACCAGAAAACACTCCAGAGAAGCCCCGCTCACCGAAAAAAAATCGAAACTCACAATTAATTGTGAGTTAAATGCGAATTATCAATTCAGCCTAGTAGGTATATGGTCAGTTAGCCCGTAGTCTGCATGGAAGACCTGATTTGGTGGGAGGCTTTCGATTGGAGTTAACAGATAGTCAACGATGTTTCCCTTTGTTGCTATCGGGCCAAATTGAACTGGCTGACTATATCTGAAGACAACACCGGAAGAGGCGATTCGGTTCAGCCCTGGCATGAGGTGGTTGGCACAGTGGTAACACACAAGCCTTCCATGCGATGGGTTCGGAGTTCAAATCTCGGACGGGGTCGGTGGATATGCACTACTGATGAGCTCTAACAAGAGCGAAACTGGAGTTTAGTTCTTCCGAGTGTATGATTAACTGGAAGAGCTGAGGAATGTGCGTGAAGATAAAATCTAAGGGATGTTCAGTCCTAATCAATTAATCACTATAGAAACCCGTTCGTTTAAATCGATTCCATGTCCTGACAGACAGCATGGAAGAGAAACTAAGATACTATGAGACATAAGTTAAGTTGCACAACAGAAGAACGGATTGAACCGTTTTAGGTTCCTGTTAGGACTTCGCTGGAGATTCCTTGGTCAAGCCTTCATCGAGGGACGGGGGGGGGGAGGTCATTGAACTGAGGATGAAAATCTAAATCGAGCAGACTGGGCAGCGAAAGGCACCTTCTCTGGGAATGAGTGCACACCCGAATTCCAAACTACTCTATTGGTGCATGAATCTCCTCCAGGACTACCGGGTATATCGTTAAGGGGGCTCGATTCAACAGACAGGGGAGATTCGTCCGAAGGGGATGAATGATCTGACAGTCAGGGCACCGGTTTCAGATAGATCGCGGACTCGACAGGGGGCGTCTCACCGTTTTATGAGTGAAATTGTTCGGGGTGAGGACCCTCGTGTTAACATCAAACTGTGGTTAGCATGACCGATTGGTAATTGTACAACCGTATCCAACACTCACAAAACAGAAACGAACTCCTCCGGCTGTGATAATAATTATCCCCTTGCATTTGGACAATAGACAGTTCGTCTGTCTCAGGATAGTGATTGAGAAACTAAATAGCGGAATTTAATGACTAGGTGGTACAGCTTCCTTATAAGAACTGACTCAGAAATGGTGGTTTAAACACTTTATAGTAAAGATGATCGAAGTAAGACACGGAGAGAGTTCAAGTCTGCTTTTCTAAGCGAACAATGAGCACGATTAAATAAAATTCACGCACAAATAAATAAACAGCAGTGCTTAGATTGTTGCGGAGTCGTAAACAATAATCTAACATGTACAAATTGTGGAACTTACATTGAATTTGATAGTTTTATTGCACCCAGTACAAAACACAGCGATCGTAGACTGTTTCGGTGGCACATCGTCGGCCACACATCCGGCCAAATGAAGTGTACCGATTCGGTTTTCGAAAGCGTGTGCAACAACTCCGTGGAACACCAATTCCATGGGATGTTTACACCGAGCGCAGCTCACATGGTGCGGGGGCAGAGAACGTAAACGGGAATCGTCCGGGTTGTTCGTCACGGTCGTATGACCGGGAAAATTGAAGCACCAGTTGAAAGGTAAACGACATCGCGTGCAGTGTAGGATGCACGTGAAACGGCACGGGGTAAGGGTCCCGGCTTTACCACACAGGCGTAAATCGGTCAGATACAGTGACTGAGTTGGTCCATTAACCGGAACGGGTTTGGTAGTCACCGGATCGTCGGTTTTCGATTCAGAAGCTTGTGGTTGTGCGGCCGATACTTCTGCCGATTCGTCTTTATTCGATTCCTTCTGAGTAACCGGATCAATCCACTCACCAACGTCATAATCCTCATACGAGGAGTTGGCTTCCCTTTCGTCTGCCCCACCACTCTCATCAAAACTATTATCATCATTATCATCAGGATCATCATCATTATCACTGTTTTCATTTTGACCTGCATTGTCTTTATGGGTTGTGGAAAACGGAACTGTGGAATTAAATTTGATGGAATCCGAAGAGGAATCCTTTAGCTCATCTGTGGAACCATTCGCAGATTGAGCCTCGATTGTCTGTGGCGATGGTACTAATTTCACTACACCTGGACTTGAGATTTCCCCTGGTGCGATTAGAGGCGAATCTGATCGCGTCATGGATTTATCCGCCGAATCGGACGACGTAAGTCCGGTCGAGTTCGGCATTTGACCCGCCAATTGGGCTTTATACTAAAATATTAACAAAAAAGTCAATGATCAGGAAATGAGCTTATATGAATTTGTGATAAATTTACTTGAAAGTAAACGAGAGGAGTGTGAAAAATAGAAGAATAATCAAGTTTTGAAGTTTATGAACGATACAAAGTGAGACAGAAAAAATTGGGTGCATATATAACGAAAGAGGATCCATTACGCATAATGATTGCATTTCCTCTTATTATCAAACCCCAATCAGTACAGAAAACCTGCGAAACAGACTCGGAATACGATGGAGTGAATGAGAGGGAGAAAGAGAGCGCGCCATAGGATCTCTGATTCCGGGTGATTGACTCTTACGCCACATCTACCTTCACCTGACAGCACCATTTATTGGAGCGAGTACCCACTGGAAGATTTTTAATTATTGTTCACGTGATCATGGTGTTTGCACTTTCATGCGCCGGTTTCGACAACCCATTTTGGTGACCAACAATGGAGTTTGAGAAAACAAAGAGAATGCATATAAACTAGATAGGTAATCGAGCCAAGTAGGTCGAGGAGCACATCTGTTTAGGGTGCTCAGTTGTATCATTTAATGGTCTAATCGGTAGTGTTACATGTTCCCGTGTTTANCCCCCCCCCCGCTTTAGCTTCCTGTTTCCGCGAATAGCGCACACCGAGGGAGCACATTCGATGAGGGGAGAAAGTCCAGCAATGGTGTGTGCGTGTGTATATCGACCACGACAGTTATTAGCTGGCTCTCCATCCCGTCTTAACAACAGTATACGAACAACAACAAGATAAACTAATCAAGTCATGGTCCGATTACTGACTACTCATACGTACCGATGTACTCTCGAGGCAATCGGGGGTAGGTGTGAAAAACTGAGGAGCACGTTACTAATCAACGATACCCTGAAACCGAACTCAGGACCACATTTTGGAATATTTATTTCTTTAGGAACTAAAACCATCATGGAACATGGAAACGGTCCGGGAGAATTACCATAGCAATCTGTGACTTGAAATAGTAAGCATTAGTCACTCTTTCCCTGAGTTGCGTTTACCGGAGATCGTCAGTATTCTGTTTTTTTCTTTTTAGTTCATTGTATTTTGTTCAGACAAACGTGACGTCGATGCGGAAGTGAGGGGGGTATCACCTGATCATTTAATGCGAGGGGTGG